GGAATTGCTTTTTTTTGGTGAATGGAGCGAGCCGAAGACAAACAAACACATTTGAGAGGCTCGAATTGCTGTGCCAGTGCCACTTTGGGAGCCCAAAGCAGGTACAGAGGGCTTCTAAAACAACATCCCACCCTGACATTGATTTCGTCGGAATGGTTTGAGAGGAGCGGCAAGGAATTGCATCAGGCTTCGGGTAACACCTATCCGATGGAAAGAGCCGAAGCCAGGGCAGCATTGCCACGGACTGTCTGAACCTGATTCGTGGCCACATCCACCTGTTCAGCGCAAAGCAGCAGAAACAGCTCCCGTGGCAGCAAGTTGATCGATTCGCAAAAGCGGAGCCATGTGGTCAGGTGGATGGACAAATCCACGAGTCGCCAGATTGGCAAGTCGTTCATCCTTGCCAACTGGCGCAAAGTAGATTTTGTCATTCCATATTACTTGAGCTGATTGGATGTGCAATTTCCATGGGATGCCCGATGCCGGCAAAAGTGTTCGGCAATTTCGATCAGGATTGGCTTCCTCCACCTGTTAGAGCAGCCGCACTCATGTGTACAAAAAAACATCACGCGCAGATGCACTCTGCTAGCGTTGTGATCGGGGGCCACAGCTTCCCGCCAATCCCATCAAACTGGCCAGAGGCTCGAGTGCCCAGGTTGCAGTCCGACAACTTTGAGCTGTTCCGAAAGTACGCGCCGATTAGCGCCGCTCGGATCGCATGGAGTTGCCGCGAGTTTTCGGATGCGGCTGGGGCATTTTTTGCTCCCAAAACCATTGGCTATCTTGGCAGGTGGTTCTGCTATTGGTGCCATTGCGCTCATAGTAAGCTTTTGGATTCCTCTCCAAATCCAAGCGTGTCTCCCTGTTCTTGGACAAGCCCACACGGCCCTGGCTTTTGAGAGGAACCACCTCACAAGTGGTTGTTGGACATGAATCACCACCAACTTGAGGTCCACCTCAGGGCCCCCAATTAAAATTCACACCCGCATATGGGTGTGGCTCAAAGTTATCGAGCTAGGGTTGAACAGGTTTTAGTCTTTAGTTCATTTACCAAGGAGCAATGAATGGAGTACATTTATTTGAGCCACAGCCATATTGCAACCATGCTGGCAGAACCAAACGTCAATAGGGTCCGCGAAGCCGCTGTCGCTGCCTGGTGAGGTCCTTGACTCCGATGATGACGAGGATGCGGCGCCCCCACTGCCTCCGCCACCTGAGGTGGTTGTGGAGATGAAGGAGTGGACATTGGCAAAGCGACCCCCTAGCCCTGAAGAGAAGACGCAGGGATCCTACCATAAACTTGTTCTCAGGTTCTAAAGGGCTTCAGCTTTCTTTGTATAAAAGGGGCCTCAAAACCAGGATGGGTGTTTCTCAAAATGGTGGACGCCCGGCAGTCGAGGCAGCATACCGGTTCAACCACCAAAGATGTCCAACGATTGCGAACAAATATGCACTGGAGAACTCAGAACTCGCTTCACCCCCACAGATATAGAAATGTTGCAGGCTTCCCTATATATCCGCCTTGGACATCACCCTTCCAAAGGGAAGCTCACTTCGACTGGCCCACAAAGGTGATATTTCTGTGATGGTTTCCTCTACCCCGATTCCAAAATCCCTCAGAGGTTTGATGGGATATACAACTACTATAACCCCGTATTCCCCTAAGGGTAGTGGGAAATGCCAAATTTAACACCAACCTTTGAGAGTAAAATATTGTGGTGGTTTGTAAACTAGAGGACTTCAACATTCTTGGCTTCCTTGAGGGTTCCTTTTGAGACCAATCGAACAGGTACCCCCCCACGATCTCTTAGCTTCAGATGTCGTTTTGCAGTGTACCTTTTCTGGGGTTGGTGCAAGGGGAAGCCAAGAGAAACCAATCCTTTTGGGGTGTCCCAATGCCAGAGTGTCCGCACCAAAGGACAAAAAGAAGAAGAAGGGCGAGGTAAGGAAGCGCGACGAAGATGAGGAGCTGGAGGGCTTCAGCGACGATGACACTGAGATTAAGAAGGCAGATCAGCCACTGACCGTTTTGAGGGGTGATTTGGGGGTGCAGTTGGGCGAAAAGAGGGCACAGTTCAGAGTCCCCCCCCCCCCCCCCATTTTGGCTGAGCTACCACTACTTTCCGGAGTTGTGCCATTACTTCGACCCTGATTTACGGGAGCCCTTTTGCCTCTGGGCACCAGAAAGTTGATCACGATCTTTCACAAGCATGACGCTTTAGGATGCCAGAGCTTGTCCGTTTACATAAGCCCAACGTATTTGCCTCAATAGATATTGTGTATTCATAGTAAAGAAAAGAAAAATACTTTCAGACTCATGTGTCCACGGCACCATTTGGGCGTGTGCCAAGAATTCGGAACCAATTTAAACGTGGCGTTTTCTTTTGGTTTCCCTTCCAAAGTGAAAAGCCGGGAATGGGAAGCCGGGCTGTTGCAGTCAAGCCAGAAAGAAGTTCCACACATGAGCAAGTAGCACCATGCCAGGCCACCCAATGGCCAGTAGTCCCCATTTCCTGCCTCCAAAAACCCATAGAAGCTGACAAGTAGTTCTTGTAAGAGCACATTTTGGGAAAGGCCTTTATCCAACCCTGTGATTGGACAACCCCTTTGCATAAATGCGTCCTACCACTAAATCTGGGTCCCCAATACTACGTTTAGAGTAGGCCAATTCAAAACCAAAACTAAGCTCTCGAATTTCTCGCCCCGACCAGCCCCAGCAGAATTGGGGGTAATTAGTCAAGTTTCTTGCCAACCATGGGCCAGCTTCTAATTGCATATTTACCCTTTGCTAAATTGAGTTTATTTCATGAATTGTAATTACACATTTAAATTGTGCCTTGTACGTTTGAGCCGCAAAAGCAGATAAAACACAACCCCCCAACAGTTTTATTTGAATTCGTGACTCGGAAACTGCGATTTTGACAGTTTGCGTGTTTGGGAAAGGGGGAGCCCATCCCCTAGGTACCCCTGTTAAATAAGAGTCCGTGGTTAGGGGGAGAGATTACCGCCAACGCCGCACTTGCCCCATAGGCTCGGATCCTGGCCAAGGGCATCGAGAGACGAATCGACCCCGCGGATGGCCAGGCAAAGCGTTGAACTTTTCACCCCAAGAGCAAGTGAAGAGAGGCATGGAACCTGAACGGGTTTTGGTTCCTTGCTTCTTCTAGCTGGTGCTCTTTTTCAGGTTTCATGTGTGCTATGGGATCTCCGTCTCGTTCCATTTGTCAGGCTTACACGCTAGAGGAGTTCATCACGGAGTACGGCGGCCGCTCGGCATTGTCGTGGAACGTTGTGGAACTTTAAGCAGGGCCATGGGGGTGAGCAACAAACCAGGCGCAACCCTGTGCTTTTTGCATCCGAAAGGAATCGATTTTTGGAACCCATTTGACAGGTCATCCAACTAATTTGGCAAACGCCGTCGCGTACTTAAAACAGCGAGGCGGTTTGCTCAGCAATCGCTCCGACAGCACGGACTGTTGCAGAGGATCATGCTCTTCGGTGCAGCTGTCACCAGCATCGCAAAAGGAGAGCGAAACGGATGGAGAATGCCGGCCGTCCAGCGCCAAACAAGCGCTCAGGGACCAGGTTGTTCCGAAAGACCAACTTGTGAAACCAGCATTCAACCATTGTGCCAAACTACCAGACCAAATGTTTGAAGCCTTTGTTTCTCTCTTCAACTAACTTTTCGCAGTACTTCGAGCATTGCTAGTGTCGCTTTTGTCGTCCATTCTACTTTTGCAAGCACTAATCACTAACTATTCTGCATGCGCCAGAGCTTGCACTACTACCACAGCCGCAACCAGTACCACTGCTGTTCCTGCTACTTCTGCGGCTGCTCCTACTGCTGCTACTACCACTACTGGCAAAGGCGCTGCCAGGTTGTACCCACGCTTGCAAAAAGGCAAGACTTGACATTGAACCCCTGGCTTTTTGTAGGGGGTGAATGGGACCCCCCTCCTCGAACACCTCCAATCCACCAATCCAAACCACCAATTGGAGGGACGCTGACTCGTGGGGTTCACGGTTGCAACGGCTGAGCGACTTCTTGCAGACGGCTTAGCGAGGCTCTGGGGACAAGCCGCCAGTGGAGTGGGACAATGCAAGGCATACCTCGCCGCCTGGCGAAAGCCAATCTCAGCCGGCGGGATCCGTATATATTTTTTGTTTGGTGACTCATTTTGTGCCATTAAACAACTCAAAGCGAGCTTTTTGGTTGGGTAATGTCTGAGGGGGACAACTGCGAACCGCGAACCTTGGAGTTCCCAACCTTCTTTTTGCCTAATCTTTGGAGTTCTTCGGAGCAGCTTGAGTTGGGGATATCGGCTTCCGGGCTGTTGGGGATATCACCTGTTTTGTTCTTTCTTTTTTTTGGGGTGGGGGGGGGGGAGGCATAAAAAGGAGGCCAACCAACAGGCTTGGGGGAAAAAGTCTCCAAAGCGGGGTCATTGATGATTGGCCTGTCAGATGGCCATCCCAGATTGTTCGCGCTCCATGCATTTGGGCTAGGATAAAAGCCAAACTTTGTCAGCTGATTTTAAAAACAGATCCAAATCATTGTAAAGCAGGTAGCTTTTGAGATTCGGTAATTAGGTGAACCCTGTTGTTCTGCGATGAGGTTCATCTACAAGGAGTAGATGGCGGGCCCGCAGAGCACCCACTCCCACCGTGATGCTGACCGTGCGAGTGGGAAAACTGAGGGCACTGCGGTTGGCGCAGAGTCTTGAAACCACAATATGTTGCTGTAGACCCCTAAGGTTCCAGGGCATCCCGGGTTTCAATCAAGTCGCCAATTGCCCACAAATGGTTCTCAGGCATTTTTCCGGATGAACCCAAGCCGGCACGGAAATTCTCAGGGGAGGCAGGCGGCAGTTCTTGAGGGTTTCCTATTAAACAATCTTGCAGTTGGGTGAAAGTAGATGGCACAGTGCTCGTCCGAAGAGGGTCAAGGGGATGACTAAACCTGAATGGGTTGAATTTGTGCCTACTTTTGCCGCACTAAGTTCGCGGAGATGCCAAGCACGAGTTGCTGATGCAGCACGCAGGGGCGCCCAGGTCGAGCGGTCCGGTGGTCCAGCGTGAGGCCTGCAGGGGCAAGGAACCGGCTGAATCGCGAAGCATGTCCCGTGGTGGCCAGCTAGCCAAATGGGGCCTAGCCAAGACCGACTCACCCACTTGCGAAGCAGATTGGCCTCGAGTAGAATGATGGATGCCCGCACTGAGATCCCTACTGGATCAACCTGTTCAGATTGCTCTTAGATACTAGGCTTCTGCTGGCAATTCTCGAACACACCTCAGCACTGCAAAAAGCAACAACCACTGCATCATGCAATATGATAGGCCCAAGCTTTCAGTACCCTTTTGCCGCTTTTCTGTTGCGGTGGTTTCCTTGCAACATCAACTGCCAAAAAATGCGCTTGTGTGTTTTGACATGCCGATGGCGCAGCAGAGCCAATGCAGCGAACTGAACAACAACTGACACCAAGGGCCGACACACCGAGGCTGATGCCTGCCGCCGCTATGCAGATGGAAGCAGAGGCAGTGTTTGGTGCTAGGCGACTGATTTTGCTCGAAGCCCTTGGTTTGCTGCCGCTATATTTTGCCGAGAGTCTTTATACCCAGCCTGTTCAAATATGTCTCGAACATCCCCTCGCACAGGCTCCGGGCTGCCATCAGACGCGGAGGAAGCCTGGAAGGAAATGCCAGCGGCCCCAGGCTACATGTCCTTAGTCCGCCCATCCAAGCTTCAGCCTACCATGGCTGTGGTTTAGCATGGAAGTTGGTCGGCCGTGTTGGACTGATCTGCCCCGCCATGGCGGAGCTATTTTCGTTGTCAACTTGAGTTCGACGAAATATCACTGGATTGGTTGGTGCGCACTTCTAGGCCACCGTTTCCATATTCTGTCGTGCATGTTTTCGTCACTAGCTCATTGGCGCTATTGAACTATTGACCGCGCTCAGAAACGGAAGCGTAACAACAGAGGGCATCACCTGCCGGAGCCACATGGAAGATAGTAATTACTAAGAACATGTGCAGCCTTGACTGCCATAGTTCCGATCTCCGACGGATCATTCAGGAGAGGCATTGCAACCCCTACCTGAAAGGTTCTAAGAGCCCTTTCTTAGCCTGAGAAGCTTCTAAGAACCTGTCTTGGGTTGGGCCATGTTTGTCATGAATAAGCATTCACTACATTCAGACCACCCAGGCGTAGAGTCAGTATTGCAGAATACTGGATAGATGCAGTTTGGCTGACATACTTCCATTTACACATTTGGCTGCAGTATATGTATTTACTTACAGATCATCCACATAGAGATCTGGACCCTTCCAATTGCTTTTTTTCGCGTCATGGGAAGCTCGGAGGTCTTTTTCCTGTCGATTGCGGGGTGTGTTGAAGATTGCTACCCCTATCCTGGGTTCAAACTCAAGCCTCGCTCCCGTGCCAGATGGTAGTAGCTATGTGGTGGGCTTCTACTAGGGGTTGCAGATCTGGATTGGGGACTCCCGAGCTCTATTTGGAACAATCCAGCCAACCGGTCATACATCCGGATGCCAAACCTGTTCTATCTTGTGGCTTCTGGCTTATGGGCCCAAGAAACGATCGGATCCACCGGGCTCATGAGACAGGCGCCAGAGCCTGACATTGGCATCAGAAGGCGAAGGTGGGCAGATGCCAAGCGAAACGGCGGGTGTAGAGGTTATGGCGTGTGTGCGCCTGAAAGCTCACAGTTTGGCCTTTTGCTGCAGGACCTTCTGCGCAAGGTTTTGGGAGTTACCCTCCCCCCCCCACCCTCCCGGTTTTTGCGTTTGCTTGGCCACGAGTTTGGTTGGGGTGTTTGATGTCCAGGAGCTGGGGCACTCCTTTGCCGTGCTCGGTAAGCTTTGTCTGTTGAATCGGTGAGTGGCCCGGGGACTATATAAGGTTCTGAGGCATATTTACTCCCGTGCAAATTTCCATGGAACCAAGAAAGGTGTCCCCCAAGGGAGATTCCTCTACAAACGAGGCGTTTTCGGGTGCTATGTTAATCTGTAGGAGGTATCAACAATTGGAACGTGGAAGGTCAAGAAGGAGGCTCGACAACGTTCTGTTCAGGCAACAGATGCCGTTTCATCGTGTGCGATTTGACCCTTTGTACAGGGGCCACGACAGTCAGGATGAGCTTTCAATGCTGTGATCTTTCTTGATTTCGTTTGGAAGCGTTGGGCATGCAAGAACCCAACTTCCCATCAGGCACCGCGCAAGCGCTGCTGCACTGGATGAAACTGGAGGATGGGTACTCGAGCGCGGCATTGTTTCAGCGTCTTTTATGGCGAGCTCACCCTGGGGGCAAAACAAGTGCTTTGTGGCGGAGCTGCTTTCCTTGAACATCCTTACAGGCTTTCAAAACCATGCCAAACTCAACTGGTAGCTGCAATCAAAGAAAGGGCTTTGCTCATGGCGAGAGTGAAGAACTGGCGACATGGGTTCAGCGGAGTGCCTGGGCTGGTTTCAACACCATAAAGGCTGCCACAAGCGAGTTGCCTTTCGGATGGTTTTTCGAATGGGACATCTAGGCCCTGTGCCTGTATCATGTTTCATGTTCAAAGCCGTTTCCATATCACTCACTGCCCAAGGCATGTATGGCAGTCGAATGGGTCCAAAAGCTCTTGCAGGAGTCAAGCAAGTAATGTAACGATCCATTCTATGCGAGTGGAAGTGCTTTTTGTACCTCAAGTTTGATGCTTGATTTAAGAAAGGACAATCGGAAGGACATCAACCATCGTAATTTTGGGACAGACGCGTTCATGTTGTTTGGCCCCGGCACGGAGCTTGCTGGATCTTTCGAGCCAGCGCTGCGTGCGAGGCATACGGCGCTCGCAGCCTGAGTGGCACGCTGACAGCAGGGCGGGCGGCCCAGGAAGCGAGCACGCTTGGTTCATCAGCGCCCAAGGTTTGTTGGAACCAAGCAGACGTCTTCGCTCCGCCGGTCCTGACCAAAGCCCAAGGAAGCAGGCCGCGTTTGTCCCAGATGCGCACAGAAAGGTGTGCGACGAGCCGCTGGAGCCGGTGTGCTGCGACTGGCTGGGTCAGTTCCACTTTAGGTTCCGGTGCGACTTCAGGCATGAGAGGGGGATGAGGCGTCCGTGCCCATTCGGTGATGATGCGTTGGTTTGGCCAAGATTCATGTCCTTTTGGCATGTTTGGCTTGAGAAGGAGCAAGCCAGGCCAAGCCAGGGCTCGATCTGCATTGGGTTTCAATGGCCCAACCGGCCCAACAAGCACCGATCAGAAACAGCCGCCCGTGAGAGGCCAGGAGAACTATTGCGCTCCCGTTTTCCCGAGACTGGAAGTGGCTACAGGCCAAGGCGACTTCAAGGATGTGATGCGTGGGCAGGGCAGCGAAGCTGAGGTCAGCGACACTCTCGCAGCAGTTATCACGAACGCTAGCTATGCTAGCATTGCGTTCTCCTTGCTTCAACCATGTAGGGGCTGGGCTGCCTGCAACAGCCTGCTTCTGCCATCGAACCCTTCGAGGTGGGCAATACGAATCAGCTACCCGCCTCCCTGAAGTCGGGCCTGCCGTTTTGGCAGCTTGCACTAAGTGGCCACCAGGAGATTGAACATTCAACTGCGAAGGCCCTTGTGAATGCGCTGCACTCCACTAGTTTCACGGAGGAGGAGCAGCAGTCTCTGAACACTCCTGCGGAGCTGGATGCTTCGGGCGTTGGTACGAAGTTTTTTGGGGACTTGAGGCACGGCTTCTTGTCCAATCGGCTTTGAGCAGCTTGCACCTGGGCTTGTTGCTCCCTTTAGAGTGTTGCAAGTGCACAGCAAAGGCTTCCACAGAGCCAGCCCTTTGCCCAAGGCGCAAACTCATGGGCCACTGGGGTGCCTTCTACAATGCGTCGCTCTTAGGCATCAGCTGCAGCCACATGCAACCGAGCATTCCTTCATCATCGAACGGGAGAAGGGGACCCAGTATTTTTGTAGGCCTCAGGAAGTCTCAGCGTTTGCTGCACGGAAATGTTCAAGTCAATGAAGCGTCGAGGTAGCATTTTGCAAGCAATCCATCCGCCAATCACCGCTATTGAAGTTGGATGTTCAGACCGGTGTCAATGTCAATAGGCTGGCGTCCCTGTGGACATCATTCATATTGATTCATGCCGGCAATTTTGAAGTTATTCCCCATGAGCTTCCTTCAAAGGCAAGCTTTTGAACGATCCGGTGGTTTAGCCTCAAGTTCCTTGGCTTGGAAAGGGGCCAAAGCGGAAAAGGAACTTCACTTGAACGGGCCAAGAGGTTCCTTGACTTCCCACCGACTCCGCCTCGTCTCTTCTCTTTGAGGCCTGGAGCGCCTTCATCACGGCGGCCAGGTATTGCGGCGCCCAGCTGGCCGAGGCGAGCGCCGAGCTGGGACGCGTGGGAACATGGGTTTGGCTCTGTTTTTTTTTAAAGCCTAACTTGAAACCAAGAGGGAGCCCACATCTTGCGTCTTTGCCCTTGGCAAAAGTGAGGCTAGAAACGATATATTTTTCGGAGCCCAGGTGGAAGAGCCACACATGGACGGCACCATGCACATTGATGCCAAATTACGCGCCAGATGAACATGCACCCAACAAGCACCATCATGTTGTAGAGGAGTCTTTCTTTTTCAGGGGGGAAGGGGTGTCATGTGAATTTGCATCCACGACACTTCGAGCATCAACCTCAAGGCCAGCAATCAATCGCAAAGATGAGAGAACCAACAACGCCATGACACCAGGTGGTGACCACACATACAAGCACTGAACGAGAGTACATCGTCACACACCGCATAAGCTGCCCCTTCAGCACCAAACAAATTGGGCACCCTCCAAAAAGACACCCAAACTAGTCGCTGCTCACGGAGCCAGGTAGAGGGGCTCTACAAGGATGCGCTGCAACAGGCGGGGCATGGGGCCGTTTGCCGGCCGGGCTGGGTTCTTCTTGCCGCTGCGGCTTCCACCTTCGCATCTCCCAGGTGAGCGATTACCCAGACCAGGTGAGCAGTGCGCGGACCTCAGACAGGATGCATTGCAGACCTGCTGGTGGCATCGGTCCAGAACCTGCCAAGACCTTGGCGAGGCTTGAGCGGGCCACTTGCCAAACAGGCCCGAACTGTCTTGTTTGCTGCAAATTTCCTAAAAGGGCCCAGGAGAACCTCTTCGCGACAGGTTGGGTATGGTTGCAAGAAGTCCACAAAACGCACCATGTTGGGATGGACGGAAACCCTACTGCTTGAGCAACCGCCTAACTCCAGTCGATGGATTTTGGAGTCCAGTTGGGTGTGAAAGTCGGCGTCGCTAAGGACTTCCTCCAGTTCCAGCGCGAGAGTGGCACTTTGGAGGGCTGGCTGCGGACTCGAGCAGCGTCAGGGTCAGATGGCAGAATTGAGCGCCCAAACCACTCACTATTTGGGGTTGCAACAAGGACTAGCAAGGATGAACGAGGCCACAACCATGTCGGTAGAGGAAAAAGTCAAAGGGTTTTGAGCGCTGCAAAATTGCAGAATTGGCTGTCTGCATGCCACGGTCCAACAACAACAAGCAGGGCGCATGGTTTGATAGCTGCTTCTGGGTGCACAAGCAACTTGACACGTCCGATCTTTCAAAGGCAGCTTTGCATTCTGGTTTTGTTGCCCTCGTGTGCTCAGGGCGCATGTTGCATTTTGAAAAACACAACTGTCAATATGGGTGGTCCGCCACGGTAGAACTAGCCAATTTTGCACAACACCTAAGGCATCACTCAGTTTGTCCATTGCCTTCGCGCAAACAAGCAATTCGGCCCGTGCGTCGCATGAGTTAAACAGTTTAGCCAGCGGCAGTCTTCCTTCTTGTGGACCTTCAGTCTACTACTATTTCCGAGTCATTGCAAGGGGAGCCATGGGAAGGTCATGACGCTTAACAGTCCTTAATGGCCTCTGCGAGAGAGAGAGAGAGAGAGAGAGAGAGCGGGAGAGAGAGACAGAGTCACTATTTGTTTAATATGGCTCCCTTGTTATGGCTCTGAATCAGTATTTACTTCAGGGGCCTCCCCCAGGCTTGCAGCTAGGGCGCAGCTGGCCGAGCCGGAGCCGGAAGCGAAGCAGGAGAGCTGCGGTGTGTGACCGGCGGTCTCCGGATTGTCCATTGTTGTGGTTTTAAAAACATCACGTTTTGAGCCAGTTCGAAAGAGCTAGCGTCAAGCCTGCCCTTGTTTACAGAGTCACGCATGCCATGGTCGATCGAGTTCCTAAAGACCCCTTCCTCATGACCAATGCAAGTCCTGCAGGTTTCACAACGGCTTTCAATAGGTGCCAACGGCTGTGGGGCCTGCCCTCGAAAGAGTTGCGCACCGCTTGCTAGCCGTGACTTGTTGTAGAGGAACTTTCACTCCCAGAGTTCATCGGGTTGCCAATTCAATGCATCGTGGAGACCTTGCGCGTGATGAATGCGCTTGGGTACAAGCGTGCGCTGCCTTTTGCAAGCTCGGCTTAGTAGCGTCGCTTTCGCAGCTTAGCCCACGCAACCTAGCTCACGCAGCCTGGCTTACGCAGCATCGCAGCTTCCCCACGCAGCCCAGCTTGCGCAGCCCAAGCTCGCAGCCTTGAAGTCAATCTTCTTTCTTAGCCGTGGGTCTGGCCGGCGCTGGCGGGATGAACCCTTTGCGTGTCGGAGCGCTCTCGCTGTGGCGCCGTGCGAATTTTCTACGTCGCCCGACGAGCCGCGAATTTGCGGGGACCGTGCGTGTCGGATCGCTCTCGCTGCAGCACTGTGCGAGTTTCCAAGTCTGCGAGGATCGTGTGTGTCGGATCACTCTCGCTTCGGCGCCGTGCGGATTTCAAAGCTAGCCGACGCAGAGAGATCGTCCGTGTCTGATCGCTCTCGCTGCGTCGGCGTGCGAATTTGAAAGCTCGCCGGCGAACCCTTTGCTGGAATCGTGCGTGTGGGTTCGCTCTAGCGGCGGCGCCGTGCAAGTTGTCTACGTGACCGACGAACCCTCTGCGGGGATCGCGTGCGTCGGATCGCTCTCGCTGCGGCACCGCGCGGGTTTCAAAGCTACCAAGCTCACCAACGAACCCGCTGCGGGGACTGTGCGTGTCGGAGAGCTCTCGATGTGGCGCCATGGGAATTACCTACGTGGCCGACGGGGGCGTGCGTGTCGGATCACTGTCGCTGTGGCGCCGTGCTGGCCTACGAGCCCTCTGAGAGCGTGTCGGATCGCTCTCGCTGTGGCGCCATGCGGCCTTGCTGTGGCGCCGTGCATTCTTCCAACGATAGTACGAAGGTAGCGCAACAAGTGCAGTCTGAAGCTCCGGCTCGAGAACCGCAAGGTTTTAGGTAAAAGTAGTATGCAAAGTACACTTCTCAAGCTCCGGCTCGAAAATCGCAAGTTTAAGTGCGAAAGTGGTACGCGAAGCACATCTCAGCGCAGAGTTGCTACACAGCGCGGGAAAGAGCCCCTCGAATGCTTGTGATCTTTGTCTGAATCAAAGCGCGCGCATGCAAAAACTGCGGGGTGTGC